ATGGAGTGAACCCAAAGGTTCGAAAGGTGTTGCAGCTTCTTTGTCTTCCTCTCCGCCAGATCTTCAATGGCACCTTTGTTAAGCTCAACAAGGCCTCAATTAACATGCTGAAAATTGTGGAACCATATATTGCTTGGGGGTGCCTGAACCTGAAGTCAGTAAATGAACTGATAGACAAACGTGGTTATGGCAAAATCAATAAGAAGTGAATTGCTTTGACAGATAACTCTTTGATTGCTCAATCTCTTGGTAAATTTGGCATCATCTGCATGGAGGATTGGATTCATGAAATCTATACTATTGGAAAACGATTCAAAGAAGCAAATAACTTCCTGTGGCCCTTCGAATTATCCTCTCCACGAGGTGGAGTGAAGAAAAAGACCACTCATTTTGTAGAAGGTAAACAGGGAACAGGGAAGACCAGATCAACAGACTTATTAGAAGGATGAACTAAGGTAACCACCATGGTTATCTCTGTAATCTAGTCAGTAAATAAACAGTGGCTGTTTCCAGACTGCAATATATTGCTGTATTAGTAACTTTTTGGTAACTTGCCTCTGCCTTGCCTTAACTTTTTTTGGCACATCTTGATGCTTGGTAAAATTAAGCCAAAACTTCTGTAAGACTAGGGTCCATTTTTTTATTTTGTGGAAATCACTTAGGGACTGTTGCAAGGCTTTTCCTACACCAGAAAGGCCTAATGTTTCCCTTTTTGAATTTTGCTGAGTGAAAATGGGTTTATTCAGAGAAAACTTATTTCAAGGTATTCATGTATGATTTGTACATAAGGTAATAAAATAAAGGTCAGTTAACCAAAAACAAACAAAAAAAGACTTTGGGCCCACACACACATGCGCCTGGTGTTTTTATTTTTTACTATGATTTTTTTTTTTTGAGAGGTTTTGCTATAGGGTGAGTGCACTCTCCAGAGAGACAGAGAGACAGAAAGTGAGAAATCACCCCCCCAGGGGGATGGCCACACCACAATCCCTTCCCCTCCATTCTCATCTCAGGATCTTGGGCACGCACACACACAGATCTGGCGTGAGTTTAAACCACCAGGTCCAGGACCCGAACCGCGGTCAACTATATGGGAGTCCAGTGATATAGCTATTATACCAACTGCTAGTCCCCATATTTTAAAAGATATATTTTATTTATTTTATTATTAGAATTTTTAATTTGACAAGAGAGGGAAAACAAGAAAGCAAGTTGCCACGTCCAGGCCTTGCACCACAGTCAGCCATGTGGGATCCAGCAATGTAACCACCAGGCCACCTACTTGCCCAAGGTAATATAAGTAACAAAATTTCAGGCTGATATAGTGGTAATAAAGCACAATACTATAATTAGTATTATAGTATTAACAACGGATACAGTATTTTAATTCTTTTGAAAAATTAATTCTTTTTGTTGCTAGAGGGTGCATAAGCTCACCAGAGAGAGAATGAGAGAGAAAGTACCCCCCTGATGGGCCATGGTCATGCTACAATTCTCATTCTTCTGTTTCTTCATCCAGTCACAATTTTGGGCACACATGTATACTAAGCATGTTTTTCAAGCCACAGGGCCAGGATTTGAACCAAGGCTGGCTGGCCATGTGAGATTCAGCTCACTGTACACTGTACTTAACAGCTGCACTATGGGGCTAGCTCTTCAATATTTTAATGCTTGTTCTTCTTCTTTTTGGTGAAAACTAGATATTAGATAATGGTGGCCAGAACTTGCAGAGTTCAGTGAATAAATATGTATATGCCACATCTCATTAATACTCAATCTAAAATTATTTTTGCATGCTTAAAAACTATTCAAAATGCAATTAACTGGAACGTGACTATGGAGCTTAGTAACAAAAATTTCACAAAGGTATACGGTGGTAAGTCTTCACCATGGTAAAACAAACAAATAAAACAAAAACAAATACATGGCTGAAACGTCCTTGTTACTTGCAGATGTGGGCTTCTTTTTTTTTAAGCAAAGGGCAATTCTCTTTCTCTTTCTGAAGTTTATTTCTTCCATGAAGTCAGAGAAAAAGAGAAACAGCACTGTCAACAGGGTCTTGACACTGTGATCCACCTCTGGCCTCCACCAAAAATGGGTCAAGGGCATCCAAGTGTCCCATATGCCGAGGCTGGTCCGATGTGATCCTGGAGCCCTGCCACGTAGGCCACCCTTTACAGAATGGAGTGGTCTACCGCTGTGCCACCTGGTCCCAGCCTTGGACTTCTTAATCCACACTTCCTACTGGCTGGGATGAAATTTACATTTAAAAATCTTGGTCCAAGAAGGCCAGTAGGTTGCGTGGTGGTTAAGGTGCTAAACTTCCACATGACTGACAATAGTTTGAGTCCCTGACCTGGTGGTTTGCTTTCTAACTCTCTCTCTCTGTGTCTCTGGTGAGTACATATGCCCTACAGCAAACTGAAAAATAAATAAATAAATAAAAAAGATCTTGGCCCAAATAAGAGACACAAATATAGGGGCCGGCAGGTGGCATGGTGAAGAATGCCGGACTCCGCATAGCCGACCATGGTTCAAATACCGGAACTACTGGCGGCTTGCTTTCTCTCTCTCTCTCTCTCTCTCTCTGTCTCTCTCTGGTCAAATTAAAATAAATAAATAAAATTAATTAATGCAAGTTAAAAAAATTATTTTAAAAAATTTATAAAGAGAGAGAGACACACAAATATGTAGCAAATACTCCCAAGACTTTGTTTTTCTGGCCAGACAGTAACAAAGTACAGAAAAAAATCCTCCAGAGCTCTGTGAGGTGGATAAGCGGCAGCTTTTAGAAGTAGGTTTTGCTCATTCCTCTCTCTGTGGGCTCAGTTTCCAAGAGAGGAGTAGAATGTCAAGAAGACTTGGAAAAGGGAGAATAATTATCCTAAAGAAATAGCAATTCACTGCTCTCAAACAGTTCAACACAATAATGTGGGGAGATTACAATGACTTATACATGGATTTATGTAGCAAAAAAAAATTTTTAAGAGAGATTTTTGCTATAGGGTGTGTGCGCTCACTGGAGAGACAGAAAGTGAGAACCACCCACCAGTGGAGGATGACCACACCACAAGCCCTTCTCCTCCATTCTCCTCTCAGGATTTTGGGCACACACGTATAAGCCACCGGGTCTGGAACTTGACATGCAGTCAGCCATGTGAGAGTCCAGCAACATAACAATGACATCATCTGCTGGTCCCTTGTTTTTCGTAAGAATTTTAAAACATACTGTTTAATAATTCTTAAAATGGCTCAACAATCCAAAGAAATAAATGGGAAACAAAAGTCAGTGTTTTCAAACAAGGAAACAAAAATCAGTGGTTTCATTTTATATTTAAAAATTAAACGCTTTTTTTTTAAAGGTGTTTACCATAGGGTGCATGTACTTGAGGAGGAGAGACAGAGAGAGACAATGAGAGGAGAAAATGAGAAATCTCTCCCCGGGAGGATGGCCACACCAAAGTCCCTTTTTCTCCATTCTCCTCTTGAATTTTGAGCACATGCATCTGGTGTAAGTTTCAAGTCACTAGGTCTGGGATTTGAACTGCAGTTGGCCATGTGGAGTCCAGTGCCTTAACCACCACACCACCGGCTGGCCCCAAACACTTTAATTTTTAAAAATATTATATTTGGGCCAGCTGGTGGGTTTAAGAAGGCTGGATTGCACATGGCCAACTGAACAGTTCAAGTCCTGGACCCACCGGCTTAGAAAACATGCTGGCACATGTGTTTGGGTCCAAAATTCCAAGAGGAGAATGAAGGAGGAGCTGTGAGATGGCCATCCCTACTGTGCGGTGGTCTCTCGTTTTCTCTCTGTATCTCTCTCCAGCAAGCACAGTGCCCTACTGCAAAAACTAAACAAAACATAATGCTAAAAGCATTAAATCTACTTCCTAAGCTAAAGATTCCTGCAGATAAGGATTTGAAGAGAATATCAATGCTCTTCTCAAATGAAGAGGGTAACAGCTCTAGTAAATATAAACTTTCAATGATTTCTTAGACTCATAAAGCAGACAAAGACATCATTATTATCTAATTTTATTATTTCTCAATTTTCTCAACACATGAACTATAACTTGTTTTGAGATTTTTCAGTGCATTTCACATCAAAAATGAACAAGGGAATCATTAAAATGGTTTTGCACAAACCAATTCTTTTTCTTGTAGTTTACAATTTGTTGAAAAAGTTATTGTTTTACTGTTTTCATCCTATTAACCCCTTTAACAGAACACAATTTACCAAAGCACAAAGCTTATAATTCTTATGATGATGCAACAGACCCAGCCATGGATGATGGCTGGTGGACCACGAGGATATGCTGCACACACTGATTGGAAGACCACAGCAGAAGAAACAGAGTAAGGCACCACTCCTGGGAGATTAAGGTAGCTCGCAGTAACAAGTGTGGGCACCGGAAGCGGGTGCTCAATAAATACTCGGATGAATGAAGAAAGCCATAATTCATACTATTCTTTTCATTGCCAGCAATTCTTCAACCTCAATAAAATACTGATTTAAAAAAGGATTTGTACCTGAATACAACTTCCTGATATTTTTTAATATCATATTTGTTCAGCATTGAAGTTTCCTTGAAGGAAAGTAAAACCGTACCTTGCATGCACTCAGTCATATATATGACTTCTGAATTACTGACGAATGTGAATAGTCACTTGTTTTCGTTCTGAGTGGACAGAGTAGTTAAGATAAAGCACACTTATCCAGAGGGATAACACATAATACTGAATATTAACCTGCAAATGAAAAAAATAAGGGAAAAAGTAACAGTTTTCTTTCTTAATATTTGCTATTTTCTTTAATGCCTTAGTTCTTAAGAAAGGCCAAATTCTCATCATATTGACATGAACACATTTTTAAAAAGTGTCTCTCAAGTGTAATATTTAATAAAACTAGGTATTGAAAAATGTTCTGAAACGGTTCAAGTCAATGTATTTTCAAGTATATTAAAATGCTCAGAAGAAAAAATTCTCCATGGTTATAATTCTAATCAATTTATAAATATACTTTGTAAAAGACAGTTCCAACAGAGGTGGATATGGGTAAGTTCCTCAGACTCAAGCACACAGTCTTTCTGAAGAAATAGAATGCCTTGTTACCACAACCTGGATGGTCTTTTTAACACTGATTTCAGGCACAATGGCTGAATCCACTTCTGGGTCATCTTCCTCCTCCTCCTCTTGGTTGGTTTACAAGAGTAGCAAATACTTCAGTTATGGACAGAAAGCAAAACACAAACTCTGAAACTTCACTTTTCACTATAAAGAACATCAAAGTCACTGAGTTCTCACTGTTCTGGGAATCTGCTGCCCCTGTGCAAAAATAGGGGACTCAAACTTAGCTTTAGAAGAAACTAGATAAAAGGCTTAGTCATCTACCGATCGGGAAAAAGGCTGTAAGATGGTATTGCTCACATCACATGAACAGTTCGGAGAGGTCTGTCGTGCTCCGTGAACACTGTGGTCTGGCTGCAGTGCTCCGGTGCCCTGGCAGGGACATTCGTGTTCAGCTAGCTTCGGTCTGTGCGGTCGGGAAGCAGGTCACTCAGTGCAATGACTCCACTCTGGAGGGCCTGGGGTAACAGAGAAGAGCCTCCTTTGGTTGTAGACAGATGTGTCACTCTGCTGTTTGTGCTGCTGGAATTATTTTCCAAAGGGGTTTGTGATAAACCCAGCCATCTCCCTGAAACAAGTAGAAAGATAAATGAAAGACCATTCCTCTAGTATTTTTTAAAATCAGTAATTAAAACTACAAGCAACGCCTTCACTGAAATGAAATTCTACCTTCACATTTAAAAAGAAGAATTCTCGGACCCAGCAGCTGGCGTGGTAGTTAAGGGCACTGGACTCCCACATGGCCGACCACGGTTTGAGTCCTGGACCTGGTAGCTTGCTTTCTCACTTACTTTCTCTCTTTCTCTCTCTCTGTCCCTCTCTGGTCAAATTAAAATAAATGAATAAAACAAATAGAGTTAAATAAAATAATTCTTACAAAAATAAAAATAAATAAATAGAAGAGTTCTGTGGAAGAGTAAAGTTGCTGCCGAAAGAGTAAAGTCTCTGTGCCAAGATATCAAATGAGGCCTGGGGAACCAGCAGTTAGCGTAATGGCTATGTCGCTGGACTCCCATGTAGTCGACCGTGGGTTCGTGTCCCGGACCCGGTGGCTTAAAACTCACGCCGGGCGCATGTGCATGTGTGCCCAAGGTCCTGAGAGGAGAATGGAGGAGAAGGGATTGCGGCGTGACCATCCCCCCTGGGGGGTGATTTCTCA